ATAGACCACCAATATGCCGATGATAATGAAGTCTGTGTGCATTCAGAAGATCTACAACATCAATTATAGACCTCCAATATGCCGATGATAATGAAGTCTGTGTGCATTCAGAAGATCTACAACATCGATTATAGACCTCCAATATGCTGATGATAATGAAGTCTGTATGCATTCAGAAGATCTACAATATCAGTTATAGAACTCCAATATGCCAATGATAACGGGTCTGTATGCATTCAGAAGATCTACAACATCCATTATAGAGCTCCAGTATGCTGATGATAATGTAATCTGTGCGCATTTAGAAGAAGACCTACAAGCCACTCTAAACACCTTTGCAGAAGCATATGAGAAACTCAGCCTCTCATTGAACATCGAGAAAACCAAAGTGCTCTTCCAGCAGTTATAGAACTCCAATATGCGATGATAATGTAGTCTGTGTGCATTCAGAAGATCTACAACATCAGTTATAGAACCCCAATATGCTGATGATAACGGGTCTGTGTGCATTCAGAAGATCTACAACATCAGTTATAGAACCCCAATATGCCGATGATAACGGGTCTGTGTGCATTCAGATTATCTATAACATCCATTATAAAGCTCCAGTATGCTGATGATAATGTAGTCTATGCGCATTCAGATGATCTATAACATCAGTTATAGAGCTCCAGTATGCTGATGATAATGTAGTCTATGCGCATTCAGAAGAAGACCTACAAGCCACTCTAAACACCTTTGCAGAAGCATACGAGAAACTCAGCTTCTCATTAGACATCGAGAAAACCAAAGTGCTCTTCCAGCAGGCACCAACCAATCCCTCTCCAATGCCAAAAATACAGCTTCATGGTGTAACATTAGAAAATGTTGACCATTTCCGCTACCCTGGCAGCCACCTCTCCATAAAAGTCAACATTGACACAGAAACGCAACACCTCCTGAGCTCTGCTAGTGCAGTATTCTTCCGAATGAAGCAGGAAGTGTTTGAGGACCAGGACATCCATAGGGAGACCATGGTGCTTGTTTATGGTGGAAGGTTTTATGTTGTTGTAAATTAGTTAAAATATGGCTTTGTAAATTAGTTAAATTAGCATTTCCGCATAAAGCGGTACCTAAATTTCCTCCTTGACAGATGCAACTGTCTTTTGGGCTGCATAGGTTGACAGCAAGCTAGACTATTAATGGTCGGGAGCTCACTCCGACCTGGGCTGGCTTCGAACTCGTGACACTGGATCCTTGATGAAGTACTTCCTCATTCTTTTGCACTGTACTGGAAAGTTTTATGGCATTGTAAATTAGTTAAATTAGCCTCCCCGCATAAACTGCCGCTCCGGGCCAGAGTGAAGAGAGAGGGTGCCAGGGGATAGTTCCACCTTGTCTCCTGTGCTATGTTAATAATATAATATAATGTAATGTAATATATTGTATATACACATAATATTTATAATATTATACTGTAATGCAATATAATACTAATAAACTAATGACAATAGTATGATATTATAATTATATATTTATATTACATATAAATTCTGCACGCTGGTGGAAGGTTTTATGTTGTTGTAAATGAGTTAAATTATGGCATTGTAAATTAGTTAAATTAGCCTCTCTGCATAAAGCGGTACCTAAATTTCCTCCTTGACAGATGCAACTGTCTTTCGGTCTGCATAGATCAACAGAAAGCTAGACTATTAATGGTTGGAAGCTCACTCCGATCCATGCTGGCTTTGAACGCATGACCTCTCGGTCAGTGATATTTTAATGTACCTTAATTTCCTACTTGACAGATGCATAGGTCAACAGCAAGCTAGACTATTAATGGTCGGGAGCTCACTCTGACCTGGGCTGGCTTCGAACTCATGTCTTGGTCAGGGATGTTTTAATATACCTTAATTTCCTACTTGACAGATGCATAGGACAACAGCAAGCTAGACTGTTCATGGTCGGGAACTCACTCTGACCCAGACTGCCTTCGAACCCGTGACCTCTTGGTCAGTGATGTTTTAATATACCTTAATTTCCTACTTGAGAGATGCATAGGTCAACAGCAAGCTAGACTATTAATGGTCGGGAGCTCAATCCGACCCGGGCTGGCTTCGAACTCGTGACAGCGGGTCCTTTGATAGAGTACTTCCTCATTCTTCTGCATGCTGTTGGGAGGCCTAATGTTGTTGTAAATAGGTCAACAGCAAGCTAGACTATTAATGGTCGGGAGCTCACTCTGGCCCAGGCTGGCTTTGAACTCGTGACACTGGGTCCTTCGATGGATAATAGTATGATATTATAATTATATATTTATGTTACATATAAATTCTGCACGCTGGTGGAAGGTTTTATGTTGTTGTAAATTAGTTAAATTATGGCATTGTAAATTAGTTAAATTAGCGTTTCCACATAAAGTGGTACCTAAATTTCCTCCTTGAGAGATGCAACCGTCTTTTGGTCTGCATAGGTCAACAGCAAGCTAGACTATTAATGGTCGGGAGCTCACTCCGACCCGGGCTGGCTTTGAACTCAAGTCTCGGTCAGGGATGTTTGAATATACCTTAATTTCCTACTGACAGATGCATAGGTCAACTGCAAGCTAGGCTATTAATGTTCGGGAGCTCACTCTGACCCGGGCTGGCTTCGAACTCATGACCTCTCAGTCAGTGATGTTTTAATGTGCCTTAATTTCCTACTTGAGAGATGCACAGGTCTACAGCAAGCTAGAGTATTAACGGTTGAAAGCTCACTCCGACCTGGTCTGGCTTCGAACTCATGACCTCTCAATCAGTGATGTTTCAATGTACCTTAATTTCCTACTTGACGGGTCAACAGCAAGCTAGACTATTAATGGTCGGGAGCTCACTCCGACCCAGCCTGGCTTTGAACTCGTGACACTGGATAATAGTATGATATTATAATTATATATTTATATTACATATAAATTCTGCACGCTGGTGGAAGGTTTTATGTTGTTGTAAATGAGTTAAATTAGCCTCTCCGTATAAAGCGGTATCTAAATTTCCTCCTTGACAGATGCAACTGTGTTTCGGTCTGCATAGGTCAACAGCAAGCTAGGCTATTAATGGTCAGGAGCTCACTCCGACTCGGGCTGGCTTTGAACTCACGACACTGAGTCTTTAGTACTTCCTCATTCTTCTGCATGCTGTTGGAAGGTCTAATGTTGTTGTAAATAGGTCAACAGCAAGGTAGACTATTAATGGTCGGGAGCTCACCCCAACCTGGGCTGCCTTTGAACCCGTGACCTCTGGGTCAGTGATGTTTCAATGTACCTTAATTTCCTACTTGACAGGTCAACAGCAAGCTAGACTATTAATGGTCGGGAGCTCACTCCGACCCGGGCTGGCTTTGAACTCGTGACATCGGGTCCTTCGATGGATAATAGTATGATATTATAATTATATATTTATGTTACAGGTAAATTCTGCATGCTGGTGGAAGGTTTTATGTTGTAAATTAGTTAAATTATGGCATTGTAAATTAGTTAAATTAGCCTCTCCGCATAAAGCGGTACCTAAATTTTTCGCCTTGAGAGGTGCAACTGTCTTTCGGTCTGCATAGGTCAACAGCAAGCTAGACTATTCATGGTCGGGAGCTCATGAACTCGTGACACCGGGTCCTTCGATGGAAAATAGTATGATGCCTTAATTTCCTATTTGACAGATGCATAGGTCAACAGCAAGCTAGGCTATTAATGGTCGGGAGCTCACTCCGACCCGGGCTGGCTTCGAACTCATGTCTCGGTCAGGGATGTTTTAATATACCTTAATTTCCTACTTGACAGATGCATAGGTCAACAGCAAGCTTGACAGATGGAACTGTTTTTTGGGCCGCATAGGTCAACAGCAAGCTAGACTATTAATGGTCGGGAGGTCACTCCGACTTGGGCTGGCTTCGAACTCGTGACCTCTCAGTCAGTGATGTTTTAATGTGCCTTAATTTCCTATTGACAGATGTATAGGCTGGCTTCGAACTCGTGACACTGGGTCCTTGGTGAAGTACTTCCTCATTCTTTTGCACGGAGCTGGAAGGTTTTATGGCATCCTAAATTAGTTAAATTAGCCTCTCCGCATAAAGTGGTACCTAAATTTCCTCCTTGACAGATGCAACTGTCTTTCGCGCTGCATAGGTCAACAGCAAGCTAGACTATTAATGGTCGGGAGCTCACTCCGACCCGGGCTGGCTTTGAACTCATGATCTTTTGGTCAGTGATGTTTCAATGTACTTTAATTTTCTACTTGACAGATGCATAGGTCAACAGCAAGCTAGACTATTCATGGTTGGGAGCTCATTCTGACTTGGGCTGGCTTCGAACTCATGACACTGGCTCCTTTGATGGAATACTTCCTCATTCTTCTGCATGCTGGTGGAAGGTTTTATGTTTTTGTTTTGTTTTGTGGAAGGTTTTATGTTGTTGTAAATTAGTTAAATTAGCCTCTCTGCATAAAGTGGTACCTAAATTTCCTCCTTGACAGATGCAACTGTCTTTTGGTCTGCATAGGTCAACAGCAAGCTAGGTTGTTAGTGGTCGGGAGCTCTCTCCCACCCGGGCTGGCTTTGAACTCGTGACACTGGATAATAGTATGATATTATAATTATATATTTATATTACGTATAAATTCTGCACGCTGGTGGAAGGTTTTATGTTCTTGTAAATAAATTTCCTCCTTGAGAGATGCAACTGTCTTGCGGTCTGCATAGGTCAACAGCAAGCTAGGCTATTCATAGTCGGGAGCTCACTCCGACCCGGGCTGGCTTCGAACTCATGACCTGGTATTCACTAGCCCTGTCCTAAACTTTGTGTTTTCTCAAATCCCTCACAACCGTGTCCTTAGTTCGCTCCTGATACAATAGAAACGACAGGGGGGAAAAAGAGGGGGAAGTGCCTAGCTTCCCTTTCCGGGTTTCCCTTCCTCCACTCCGGGTTTTCCTTTTTTTGTGTTGTTTTGTTTTCCCCCTTTTCTCGCCCGCCCGCGTCCTTTTTTTTCACGCCGGCGGGGTTCCCGGCCTCTCAATCAATCCAAGCCCCGCCCCTTTTAACTCCCCAACGGAGCAAGCCCCGCCCCTTTCCTTTCGCCTTGCCTGGCTCGCTTCTTTTTTTTTCTCCCCCCGCTTGAGTGTCTCGCGCCCGCCCGCCCTCCTATTTTCCTCCCTCTCTCTTGCCCTCTCTCTCTCTCTCTCGGAGTCTCGCTCACTTTCTGCCTCAATATGTCTCAAGATGGCGGCCAATGCGGGATCGATGTTCCAATATTGGAAGCGCTTTGACTTCCCGCAGCTGCAGGTAATACTGGAGCGCCGGCTCGGGCGCGGGGGGTGCCGCGGAGGGCCCGGGAAAGGCCTCGTCCCCTTCCCCGCTTCGGGGTTGGCTCGGTTTGGTTTACCTCAGGGCCCGAGAGGGGGCCTCAGGCGGGCGGGCGGGCCAAAAAGAGAGGTGGACACACACACACACACAGAGAGCCAAGGGGTGCCCCCACTAAGGCCTCCCCCCCCACAACAGGGCCCGCGCCAAGGGGTTCCGCTCTGTTTCCCCACCCTCTCCCCTTTCGCGCCTCTCTTCCTCCTGCCATCGATCGCCATCGGGAATTGATCCTCTTTGTTCGATCGCATCGATTTCTGCCCCTTTGACAAAATGGCGCCCGGCGCGTCCCGGGATGGGAGGGGGGAGGGAGGGGGGAGGGGAGAGAAGAAGGAAAGGAAAGGGAAGGGAAGCACAGAGGGGGGAAGGAGCCCCCCAAGAAGGAGGGGAAGAGGAAGAGTCCTGAGGGAAAGTAATTGTGTGTGGGTGTTGGAAAGGGGGGGGGGGAGGAAGAGAGAGAGAACTGGACTACTCTCATTAATATTATTGGTATTCAGTTGGACTAATATCCATGGGGGAAAGTGGAGGGGAAAAATAACAGGACTATTATCATTAGTATTAGTATTATTACTATTCAATAGCCATGACAGAAAGTATATCTGTGGGAAAGTGGAGGGGAAGCATCACAGGACTATTGTCACTAGTGTTATTAGTATTTAGTATTATTGCTATTCAATACCCATGACAGAAAGTATATCTGTGGAGAAGTGGAGGGGAATCATAACAGGACTATTATCATTAGTATTACTAGTATTAATATTGTTACTATTAGTATTGTTATCAATCAATTGTAGTATTAGCCATGAGGGAAAGAATATCTGTTTGGAAGTGGAGCGGAAGCATCACAGGACTATTATTAATAGTGTTATTAGTATTATTAGTAGTATTCTTACTATTCAATAACCATGACAGAAAGTATATGTGTGAGGAAGCAGAGAAAAATGATAACAGGACTTCTATCATCGTAATTAGTATTATTATTAATATTATTTAATTGTAATAGCCATGAGGGAAAGTGGAGGGGAATCATAACAGGACTATTATCATTAGTATCTTTAGTATTAGTATTTTTACTATTCAATAGCCATGACAGAAAGTATATCTGTGGGGAAGTGGAGGGGAAGCATCACAGGACTATTATCATTACTGTCATTAGTATTAGTATTATTACTATTCAGTACCCATGACAGAAAGTATATCTATGGGGAAGTGGAGGGGAAGCATCACAGGACTATTGTCACTAGTGTTATTAGTATTATTAGTAGTATTAGTATTGTTATCAATCAATTGTACTATTAGCCATGAGGGAAAGTATATCTGTGGGAAAAATAACAGGACTATTATCATTACTGTCATTAGTATTAGTATTCTTACTATTCAATAGCCATAACAGAAAGTATATCTGTGGGGAAGTGGAGGGGAAGCATCACAGGACTATTATTACTAGTGTTATTAGTATTATCAGTAGTATTATTACTATTCAATAACCATGATAGAAAGTATGTATGTGACGAAGTAGTCCTATCATCATCATCATTATTAATAATATTTTTTAATTGTACTCATAGCCATGGGGGAAAGTGGAGGGGAATCATAACAGGACTATTATCATTAGTATTATTATTATTATTGTTAGTATTAGTATTAGTATTATTATCAATCAATTGTACTATTAGCCATGAGGGAAAGTATATCTGTGAGGAAGTGGAGGGGAAGCATAGCAGGACTATTATCACTAGTGTTACTAGTATTATTATTAGTATTGTTATCAATCAATTGTACTATTAGCCATGAGGGAAAGTATATCTGTGGGAAAGTGGAGGGGGAAAATAACAGGACTATTATCATTAGTATCATTAGTATTTAGTATTATTACTATTCAATACCCATGACAGAAAGTATATCTGCGGGGAAGTGGAGTGGAAGCATCACAGGACTATTATCACTAGTAGTATTAGTATTGTTATCAATCAATTGTACGATTAGCCATGAGGGAAAGTATATCTGCTTGGAAGTGGAGCGGAAGCATAACAGGACTATTACCATTAGTATTACTAGTATTATTATGGTGAATATTAGTATTATTATCAATCAATTGTACTATTAGCCGTGAGAGAAAGTATATCTGTTTGGAAGTGGAGGGGAAGCATAGCAGGACTATTATCACTAGTGTTACTAGTATTATTATTAGTATTGTTATCAATCAATTGTACTGTTAGCCATGAGGGAATGTATGTATATCTATAGGAAAGTGAAGGGGGAAAATAACAGATGGTATAGTAAGTCATTTTAGGCCAAAGCTATTTTAAATGTGTAGGCATAGAAGAATGATACTATTATCATTAGTATCATTAGTATTAGTATTATTACTATTCAGTAGCCATGACAGAAAGTATATGTGTGAGGAAGTGGAGGGGAAGGATAACAGGACTCCTATCATCATCATTAATATTATTAATATTATTTAATTGTACTCATAACCATGGGGGAAAGTAGATCTGTGGCGAAGTGGAGGGGAATCATAACAGGACTATTATCATTAGTATTATTATTATTGTTGTTAGTATTAGTATTATTATCAATCAATTGTACTCATAGCCACAAGGGAAAGTGGGAGGGGGAGTGGAGGGGGAAGCATAACAAGACTACTATCATCATCATCATCATCATCATCATCATCATCACTATTCAATTGTACTAATAGCCATGAGGGAAAGTATATGGCGGGGGGAGGGGAGGGGAGAGTAGTATCATTATCATCATTATTAATATTATTAGCATTATTCAATCGGAATAGCCATGAGGGAAAGTATATGTGTGTGGAAGTGGAGAGGAAGCATAACAGGGCTATTATATGTACCCCTTATTATTAATTATTTGTATCCCTTATTAATTAATATTCAGTCATAGGAAGAGCCATGAGGGAAAGTGTGTGGGGAGGTTGAAGGGAAGCATAACAGGACTATTATTATTATTATTTTATTTGTATCCTTTATTAATATTATTAATATACGATTGTAGGAATTGACATAAGAATGAGGTGAACTCTGTGGGGAAGTGGAATAAGGGGGAGAGCAGGCCTAGCAGAACTACTACTACTATTATCATCGTTATTGTTTTATGTAGAGAATTGTATTCCTTATTATTAGTATTATTCAATTGTAGTAATAGTCATAAACGGAGAGGAAGGGATACAGGGATTCTCTGCCTTTGGATTGTCTTGCCAGCTCCTTTCAGTCCCAGACTTGTCTCTTTATGTCACTTTACTGTCTTCTAACAATCCTTCCTCCAGTTTGGGAAACTATTAAGGATGGAGGGCAAGGATAACAACAATAAGGAAGGAAGCAAGGGGGGGGGGGGGAGTCTTGGCCTATGAATTGTCTTGTCAGTAAGAAGACCTGTCTTTCCTTTCACATTCGCTTTGCTGTTTTCTAACAGTTTGGCCCCCAATGGAGGAAACTGGGCCACTCACCAGCTTCACCCCCGCTTCCTATTCTCCCACCTTGGTTTACCAACAGTTTCCTATCTAGCCAGCCTTCACTTGGAGAGAACCCCAAAAGCCCTCCCCCCAATATCAACCCCAAACACCAACTTGTCTGTTATTTCTCATCCCTTTGAGTCTCCTTGGGGAGAGAAAAGCTGGGTATAAATAATAATAACAATAGCAATAATAATAATTCTTACTATCTCCCTCCAGTTTGGCCTGCTGGGCAAACTGGGCTACTCACCCCCCCCCCACCCCTGTAGCAATTATATACTTCATTTAGCTTCTCTTTCTCCCATTTGACAAAAAGATATGGGTGATGATAATAGAAAGAGGATGGATTGTCTCTCTCAAAATGATTTTATTTCTCATTTATTGCTCATAGTCTGCTGCTCGTTTGTCCTGTGATATCTAAGGGGTGACTGGCAAATTGGGCTCATTTCCCCCCAATGCCTAAGAGCCCTCCCCCCAACTTGCAGCTCCCAGCCCTGTCCTTTATATATGTTCATTATTATGTTTATACTCTTTTTCTCTCCACAAAGAGACTCAAAGCAGCTTCCCTTCCTTTCTCTTCTACTCCCCAGTGAGGAGTGGAGCAAGAGGAATAATAATAATAATAATAATTATTGTTATTATTATGAATTATTTTGTCACCTCCTCTCATATTTCACATCCCCCCCTTTTTTATAATAGTGCTCTTCCTGTTGGCCCTGGGATGCTTGACAAACAGGCTTTGAACTGCCCCCCCCCCCCCAAACTGAAAAGCCTACTTCAGTGTTTCTCAACCTGGTGGTCGGGACCCCTGGTGGGGTCGCGAGGGGGTGTCAGAGGGGTTGCCAAAGACTATCAGAAAACACATTTTCTGTTGGTTATGTGTGGGAGGTTTTACCCAATTCTATCATTGATAGGTTTCGGAATGCATAGGTGAACTATAAATCCCAGCAACTACAACTCTCAAATGTCAAGGTCTATTTCCCTTAAATTCCACCAGTGTTCACATTTGGACATATTGAATATCTGTTCCAAATTTCGTCCAGATCTGTCATTGCGTGGGTCCGCAGTTCTCTCTGGATGTAGGTGAACTACAACTCCAGAACTCAAGTTCAATACCCACCAAATCCTTTTAATATTTTCTGTTGGTCTTGGGAGTTATGTTTGGTTCAATTTCATTGTTGGTAGAGTTCAGAATGCTCTTTCATTGGAGGTGAATTATAAATCCCAGCAGCTACAACTCCCAAGTGACAAACTCAATTCACCCCCAACCCCACCAGTGTTCACATTTGGGCGTATCGGGTATTTGCGTCAAATTTGGTCCAGTGGAAATACAAACTGCAGATCAGATCTTTTCATTACGATTCATAACAGTAGCAACATTACAGTTATGTAGTAGCTACGAAAATAATGTTATGGTTGGGGGTCACCACCACATGAGGAACTGTAT